CGATAGTTCTCCCTTTTATAAAACAGTGAAATTAATATCTACCACTCACAGGTACTAAAATGTAAATAAAAAAATCTGACTCCCTACAGGGATTGAATGTACATTTTCATTTTTGAAAAAGTAAACGCTTTCCAATCAAGCTTAAAAAAAAGGAAAATGTTTCATTTATCCTCTTCACAGTTAAAGGTGGAGAATCCATTAAAACAAATGCCCATATATCGTTGGGACACGTCGAACTCTACAATTTCTTATTTTGTTTTTGTAACTAAAGCATAAACAAAAGTATTTGTGAGCAATTAATTCAAGTTTTATACGACATTCGTTATTTTTAAATATATATATAATGACTAGCTTAAAAGCTACACTTTTCGGGTGGCAATTAAACTAACACCTGTTCGTCCTTATGTTTCTGCATATTCTCAATATTGGAAGCTCTTTTGCCAGCCGGTTGATCTGGGTTTTCATTGGTACGGGACTTTCTTTTCCTCGCTGCAGCCATAGCTCCTTTGATTGCAATCTGGTCCTCTGTCGGTGGAGATTTCTTTCTGCTACCGTATGTGATAGGCAGCAATAAACTACAGAAGAACTAATGCGTGGTGCACACGGTGAGGCACGAATTGATCTAACATGACAAGCTTGATAACCATTATACCAAGTGGAAATTCTCCTTACAGGTTTTTACGATACAAATTAGAAAAGCGATTATCTTTTTAACACTTTTTTAAAAAATAATTTCACCCCAAGCAAGGCGGGTATGCCACTAGAACACAGCGGCTTACAGGGTATGAAAATGAATGAGTAGACTAAAAATAGGGAGAATTGATGGAAGGGCAAAAGATGGGCGGGATTTAACAAAACAGAAAGTGGCGATTAGCTGTGCCTTTAAAGTTTTTTAAAAGCGTAGTTAACAGGAAAGCGAGTAAACGGACGGGAATTCCACAAACTGGAAGTGCTAGAACATAGTCTTTTGGAGTAAAAGTGGCGGTAAACGGAAAGAAATTCTACAGGTGGGAAGTGCTAGAACATAGTCTGTTGGAGTAAAAGTGGCGGTAAACGGAAAGAAATTCTACAGGTGGGAAGTGCTAGAACATAGTCTGTTGGAGTAAAGTGGCGGTAAACGGAAAAAATTATACAGGTGGGAGATGCGAACATAGTCTGTTGGGTAACGGAAAACGGAAATTCTACAGGTGGGAAGTGCTAGAACATAGTCTGTTGGAGTAAAAGTGGCGGTAAAAAAATTCTAAATAATTATACAGTCTGTTGGGGTAGAAAGTGGCGCTAAACTGAAGGGAATTCTACACATAGTCTGTTGGAGTAAAAAGTGGCGGTAAACGGAAAGGAATTCTACAGGTGGGAAGTGCTAGAACATAGTCTGTTGGAGTAAAAGTGGCGGTAAACGGAAAGAAATTCTACAGGTGAGAAGTGCTAGAACGTAGTCTGTTGGGGTAGAAGTGGCGTTAAACTGAAGGGAATTCTACAGGTGGGAAGTGCTAGAAGATAAGCTGTTGGAGTAAAAGTGGCGGTAAACGGGAGGGAATTCCACGTGTGGGAAGTGCTAAAACACGGAGTAAAAGTGGCGGTAATCGGAAGGGAATTTCACAGGTCGTAAGCGCTAGAACATAAACCTTTGGAGTAGCTAGTGGCGGTTGCATCTAGCTATTTCAGCAGTGAAGGGGTATGCCCTAAATATCTATGTAGTAGCATTGCTTGAATTCAAGTAATCAGCTCATCAGGGAAAAAGATCGTCAGAGCAGTTGTCATGAAAATATTTGTAGAACAAAGAGAAAGCACGCCATGTCGGTGAGAAAGTGACTGATGTCGTGATGCCAACTCAGGATCGATTAGATTACAGACGCTTCTTCGGATTTTGTCATGAATCTCGTGATATATAGCAGAAGCACCAGACCAGATATGACAGCAGTATTCCTTGCAAAGACGAATGGTAGATTTGTAAATGCGCAAGATGGATTGTCCATAAGTAGATTTCCAGAGTCCGACTTTGTGTAATATCTTTAAGTAGTCAGAAGTGTGCAATAAATTGCTATTAATTAACAGCATACTTCCGGATGACTAGTGCCTCTAAGAGTTTTCAAGCTATCGCCTTTCATTTGTTCTAAATGTTTACACCGAACCAAAAGGTTCTAATTAAAAACGTTAGAGTTATGTTATAAAATATCATAGATGCAGAAATGTAAAAAAAAATCGACATACTCTATATTTAATACAGTGTTCTTTCCAAATTCCAAGTTGTTGTTGCGTCCTGAGTTTGACGATAAACTACATCCGGCAGCAAGGCTTTTGATAGGGAAGATGTGAAGAGCGTGGAACAACCTCTTGATTGCTGTTGTTCTCAGGTCCAAACAAACTCGGAGTGGTATCACCTGTTTGTGGTCCCAGGTATTGGCAAATACTTAAGCCCCAGGCAGAGGTTAAAAGACTGTGAAATTATAAAACTAATAAATATAGTAAAAGTACCAGTAATACATTTAAGAAAAATGTTACCGGCAATACATTTTTGAAAAAGAATATATTACCAGCAATGCATTTTTAAAAAGAAATACCAACAATACATTTCTAATATATATATATATATATATATATATATATATATATATAATAAAAAAAGAACAGCAAGATATATAATCCGGTGTTCTTATAGACATTTTATTTTTACAAAATAGTGCTCAATGTAAATTTACAGAGCATTAATATTATAAATTAATTGATTTAAAATATGTTTTTTTTTTTTGCTACACAGTTCTAACCATATTTCATCAATGGAAGCTAAAAGCCACGAATTTAATTTTGTGATTAAATTAAAGACATTAGTTCCATTTCATCCTCAAGCAATTTTTGAGTAACTTTTAAAATTACTGGGTTTTAAATACACAGCTAAAACAAAATTCATGTTTCCAAGGTTACAGATAAATCTATTTTTCTAGACAGGGGTGGCTGGGTTTTCAATATGTCTATAATTTAATGTATCAGTTATTGCTACGTTTTGGTCGTGGGAAGGGATGCATTTTTCAATGAAATCTAACTTCTGTTAAAGCCTGTCGTCTAGATTTTTTAAAATTATATTGTTAACGGCTAAAATTCTTAAGGCCTTTTTTTTTTTTTTTTTTCCTTATATTTAAAGTATATTACGATTATTTTTTAAAATTTTATACTTAAATATTACTAAAGTAAAATTTTTCGTTACTCCGATTTAGTAAACTTTATTTATTTATTTAATTACAAATTAAAAGAAGTTTAGGTTAGAATTCATTTTAATTAACTACAGTTTTAATTACAACTTTAAAATATTTTCATTATTAGTTTTTATAGTCTGTATTTCAATTAATAGAAGTAAAATGTTACTTACCCTCAGGAAAATTATTTTTCTACATCAAGTATATTTATATTACGATTTTAAAATTTTTTTTTATATTTAAATATTTTTTAAGTAAAAATTTTTTTTTTATCTTTACGGCAAAAATAGCTACTTCATTTCTCTATTTTAGTAAACTTTATTTATTTATTTACAATTTAAAAGAAGTTTAGTTTAGAATTCATTTTAATTAACTACAATTTTAATTACAACTTTAAAATATTTTCATTATTAGTTTTTTAGACTATATTTCTTTTAAAATGTATCCGAGTTCTTTACCGTCAGTAAAATTATTTTTCTATATCAAGTATATTTATATTACGACTTTTTAATAAATTTTATATTTAAATATTTTTTAAGTAAAAATTGTTTTATCTTTACAGCAAAATAGCTACTTCATTTCTCTAATTTAGTAAACTTTATTTATTTATTTAATTACAATTTAAAAGAAGTTTAGGTTAGAATTCATTTTAATTAACTAAAGTTTTAATTAAAATTTTCAAATATTATCATTATTAGTTTCTATAGACTATATTTCATTTAAAAGAAGTAAAATGTATCCAAGTTACTTACCGTCAGTAAAATTATTTTTCTGTATCAAGTAAATTTATATTACGATTTTTTAAAATTTTATATTTAAATATTTTTTAAGTAAGATTTTTTTTAACTTTACGGCAAAAATAGCTACTTCATTTCTCTTAATTTAGTAAACTTTATTTATTTATTTAATTACAATTTAAAATAAGTTTAGGTTAGAATTCATTTTAATTAACTATAATTTTATTTACAACTTTAAAATATTTTCATTATTAGTTTTTATAGAATATATTTCATTTAATTGAAGTAAAATGTGTCAGAGTTACTAACAGTCAGTAAAATTTATTTTTTCTATATCAATTTTATTTCTATTTCGATTATATATATATATATATATATATATATATATATATATATATATATATATATATATATATACCAGCAATAAATTTAACAGCAATATATTTTTGAAAAATATTAGCAGCAAAATATTTTTGAAAAAAAGAATATTTCCAGCAACAGATTTGATTCTCGACAAAAACCCTCTTGACAAAAATACGACATTGAAACCTGATTTAGAAACTAGTTTCTCCCAAATAATACATATTCCATTCATACGAACCTATCTTAAAAATCTTGTCGGCATTAAACAAATTGAGATTGACACGCCGTAAAAAAAATAAACCAAGCAAACAAGTTGTTGTTGTTTAGCGGCATATCAACCCCAGTGGATTATTTAAAACCGAAATCTAAATATTTTTCATACAATTTTATTTCATTTTTTGTGACTATAGTATCGTATACAAATTAGATAGACAAGTATAAATAGAGAACAACTAGCGAAAATAGAGGGGAGGCTATGCCTAGCAAACCCGGTTGCTATTTAGGACTGTACTACAACTACTACTACGCAGAGAGATATGCAAATCATAACAGTGACAATAATTGTTAAAGTGATACAAGTCGTACTAATTAATCCATATCTGGGGGAGAAGAGGCGGATTCATACCTTTTCCCAACTATTTGCTCGTATGCGAATGTAACGAATCCAGTCGGCTCTCCTATTAACAATTCCATCATCCGCACATCCAAGCTTACAGCACGTGATATTCAGAAGCGGTCGCCCATCTTGGTACTAACAAGGCTCGACGTTGCTTAACTTCGCTTATCATAGGGGAACCGATGTTTCAACGTGAGGTGGTCGTAATCCCCCAAATCCTAAGGTTACAGTGTACATTGACGGACACCTGACTAATGTACATGATTATAACAAGGAGAACATGGCCTGAATAACAAGGTTTATTATAATCGACATTATGCCGCAAACTAATAGCAGTGTATGGCCTCACCTTCATAAATCTGGATGACCAGATCCTGGCAGATAATCTCTCCTCCGAATGAGTTCTAATATTCTACGGCCCAATCCCTATCTTGTAACATTCAATACCTCCAAAAACACCCAAATAATAACGTCAGTGGACAAACCCTGAAATTTCAACTATCATGATGAACAGTGTTGTCTCAAAAAGCCAGATCGGTCCAAAAATGAAGTATCGCTGCCATATCTGCTCTGGAGCTGCCCAATTCTCACTTTCCAGCTTGTATCACATTAAAAAGTACCGGACTTCCCATGCCCTGATATGGCAGCAATACTCCATTTTTTTGTCTGATCTGAATCTTGTAAAAAAGATTTTATTATAAAACGACAAACCTTGTTGGGTTGTTTAATGGAACAGGGTACCCACTTAGGGTGAAGATGGCATCAATCGTCCGCATAAATGAAGAACTGTATTCTACATAAAAAAACCCAAAAAAAACTACTAATTATTTGGCAATACTTTCAACTTTATCTTGCTGTCATACTACTGGGAAAATTCTTCCATCAAGTGTTCTTATGGAAAATGCACTAAAACAGATAAACTATCTTATCAATAGCTTGCTTGTGCATTAACGACACAGAAGAAATGAGAGAACAGAGTTCGAGTTTCACTCGAGATCATTATATTTAATTATGCTCATATACTGTTAGGAAAGATATGAATCCACTTTCTTTCCCTCCAGGTAGAGGTTAAAATGTAACACTTGTATATAAGAATATCCTTTGTAGCTCCAAATCATTGCTAATGCAGTAATGCAGTAAAAGTATTCTCATAGTCTGATGGTTCCCTCCTAATTGAGAATAATTATTTATTGTTTAAAATAAACAATTGTGGCACGAGGCCAAAGGGAAAGTGAGGGAGATACTGGTCCACACTAAATATCCTAAACCTTGGCTTATCAGATTCAGGGATCCACTCATCCATTACAATTTACTCATTCAAGAACTTATGCAACACCATTCAATCCGACCGAAACTACCTAAACTATTTCTTTACCAAATATTCACAGGGATCCTACAAAAAAAAACAAAAAAAAACCATGACATAAAAATTTCATAATATAAAATATATATATTTTTTATTATTTTTTTCCAGTTTTTAAAAATAAAAACCTGAAGTGTCCTGGGTATGACGATAAACTACGTCCAACAGCAAGGCCTCTGATCAGGAGGTTTTGAAGAGCATAGAACCACCTCTTAATTGCTGGTATTCCTAGGTCCACTCTGACCCTGGGTGGTAGCACCTGTTAGGGTCCCAGATATGGGCAAATAGTTAACACCAAAACTGGGTTTAAACCTCTTCAATACATTTTTTTGACGAAAAATTATTACCAACAATATATTTTTTGAAAATCATATTACCAGTTTCTGGCATTTTCTAACATAGAATATATATATATATATATATATATATATATATATATATATATATATATATATATATATATATAAAGTGAATCTACTTGAGACGTCCATTTCATGATGAAATTTCAATTTTTTTAATTTAGCAGACTTGAATTAATTTGCCTGAGATTAACACGCCATGCAAAATCACGTGTTTCTATCGAGAAGGCCAAAAATAACGGCTCATTAAAAAAGGTCCTAAAATGACAAAGTAAATTGGTAAGGGTTACGTTAACTAGAAAGAGAAAGCGAGAGGGCGAGTGAGAGAAGTGACAGTGATGTAGTGAGAAAGAGAGTGACAGAGACGGAGAATTGTAATTAAGCACAAAACGAGAGCGATAGAGGGAAAAATGGAAAGAAAAAGTAGAAAAAAAGAGATAGAAAATGCATGTAATTAGGTAAGAACGGAAGAAGAGAGTGTAATAGAGTAGAAAGGTCCCAAAAGAGGGACTTGACATGTTTGTTGGTTGTTTTTGCGGCACATCAATACATCCATGAGCCATTTAATTTAAATATTTTAGTTGAAGTTAGTTTATTTTGTTTTACAGCGTATCAACCTCAATGGGTTATTTAATGCCGACAACATTTTTAGGATAGATTCGTAAGAATCCAATATGTATTCATGGGTTTAGATTGGTTTGGTTTATTTTGTTTTACGGCATATCAACCTAACTGGGTTATTTGATGCCGAAAACATTTTTAGGATAGATTCGTATGAATAGAACATGTATTCTTTGATTTAGATCGGTTTGGTTTATTTTGATTTACGGCATATCAACCTCAATGGGTTATTTAATGCTGACAACATTTTTAGGATAGATTCGTATGAATAGAATATGTATTCTTTGGTTTAGATTGGTTTGGTTTATTTTGTTTTACGCTATATCAATCTCAATGGGTTATTTAATGCCACCAACATTTTTTATTGCTGGTAACATTTTGTTTCATCAAAAATCTGTTTCTGGTAAAATTTTTCCTTCAAAATTTTATTGCTGGTAATAATTTTTTTCAAAAATGTATTGCTGGTAATAATTAACTATTTGCCCATAGCTGCTACCACCCTGGGTCAGGATGAACCTGGGAACACCAGCAATTATAAGGTGGTTACGCTCCTCAAAACCTCCTGATCAGAGGACTTGCTGCTGGATGTAGTTTATCGTCTTACCCAGGATGCAGATGTAGTTTAACGTCTTACCCAGGACGACTATATATTTTGTACGCAATTTTATGGCTCACAGCTCGATATTTCGTACATAATTTTATACTTTCAAGTCAGACGAATGTTGCTTTTTTCAATATATAGTTGGTAGATAAAATGTATTTGCGGTAATTTTAATACAAACATGTATTTTTTTAATAGTGCTGTATTGATAGACACTTTTCTATAAAATATATTGCTACTCGTCATTTTCTAATAAATATATGACTGCTATTTTTACCATAATGTATTTTTTTACTTAGTGAACACCAAACCAAAAATATCAGGTCATCCCATAAGTTCTGTCCGAATTTTGAATAAAGAAAACAAGTGATCAAATATTACATTTAATTACAGATTCAATCAACAATGTATTTTCCCTGATTATCTATGACTTCCTTCCATCTATTAACAAGCTAACTAATTCCATTACTGTAAAATTCTTTGGGCTTTGATTCGAAGAACTCACAAATGTCAGTTTTAACCTCTTCCTGTGTTACAAAAGCTGTTTCTTCCAAATGATTCTGTAAGCTACGAAACAAATGGTAGTCTGAAGGAGAAAAATCGGGAGAATAAAGTGGATGAGGAATTTTCTCCCAACCAAGTTCTTCGATCTTTTGTGACGTGATTCTTGCTGTGTGGAGTCGCGCATTCTCCTGATGAAACATCACCTCTTTTCGATTCACTAGAGCAGATCATTTTTCCTCAAAGCTTGGTTCAAACGCTCTAATTGCTGACAGTATATTTGAGCATTAATTGTTGCATTAGGTGGTAAGAATTCAAAGTGGATTATTCCTTGGCGATCTCACCAGGTTGAAAGAAGAACATTTTGCCCATGAAGTTCCCTTCTCGGCTGTGGCTGGGGTCCTTTCCCTTTACCAAGCCACTGTCTAAGACGCTTAACATTTCGATAAAAGATCCATTTTTCGTAGCCAGTCACTAGTCTATCTAAAAAAGGTGAAACAAGTTGGCGAGAATGGAGAAAAGAGCAGATGTCAACTCGGGATTAGAGGTTGTTTTCAGACAATTCATGAGGCACCCATTTTCCAAGTTTAGGAACTTTTCCAAGTTGTCGAAGATGACGATGAACAGTTGTATGGTTTGAACTGAGAACAACTGCCAATTCCTCAACTGATAAAGCAGGACTTTCTTCAAGCGCTGCTTCAAGAAGCTTTTCATCAAACTCAACTGGACGTCCGGTTCGATCTTCATCTTCAAGGGTGAAATCTCCACCTCTGAATTTTGCAAACCATCTTCTGCAAGTTCTTTCATTCACACATTTCTCTCCATAAACTGTGAATGTTTCTAGCCACTTCGGTTGCTGAGTTTCCTTTCTTGAACTCATAAAGCATTATGTGCCTCAAATGATTCTTGGGTACTTTCATGTTAGCAGGGTTTTAATCAAACAAAATTGAATTTTATTGTTCTCTGAAATAAAATTTGGTCAGTTTAAATGCATCTAAACAATAAAAATAATGTTCAGCTCCATTAGACATTATAAAATATTCTTTAAATTTCGTTCATTTTAACAAAAAGTTATAATTCGGACAGAACTTATGGGATGACCTGATAACAATGTTATTTGCCCACACCTGTGACCCTAACTGCTCCTACCATCTCGAGTTAGGGTAGATCTGGAAACAAAAGCAATTAAGAAATGGCGCGAACTTCTTTAAAACCTTTATTCTCTCGATCGGGTGGCCTTTCTGCCGGATGTAGTTGGAATTGAGATGTAAACAATTAAAATAGAGTGAGAGAGAAGGAGAGAAACACACAAAAAGAGAAAGGGAGAGAGAGGGAGAAAGATTGATAAAGGGAAAGATCTACAAAGACAAACAGAAATACAGATAAATTTATGAGATTTAGCGAGAAGAGAGTGACGGGGAGAAGGAGTCATAACAGGAAGCGTATAAAGTAAATATTCAAGAGACAGAGAGAGAGAAAGAGAGAGAGAGAGAGAGAGTGTGTGTGAGTGTGAGTGTGAGAGAGAGTGAGTGAGTGAGTGAATGAGAGAAAGATAGACTAGGGATGATGCAGAGGAAGGGAAAAACAAAAAGACAGAAAGAAAGACAGAAACATCCAAATAATAGATTGACTTATTTTATGGTTTATCAACTCTTTTGATTGATTGAATAATAATTTTTCGCGAGCGAATTTTCTATGAACAATATTTTGAAAATAAACAATGCATTTTTTCAGATACAAGTCTGTGTGTGGGAGGGAG